TTCCATCACTTTCTCATTCTCTCTTTTGTCTAACTTTATTTTCCTTTAATCACTTTACTATTGACTTGATTCTTGATTTAGATTAAATGGCACAATTTAAATTTGTCAGAATTAATTTAATGGCAAGTTCTAGTGAAGTTTTTGTTACTTATTATACATTTTTTGTTATGTATACAACAAATATATCTTTCATATTGCATTTGACGTGTAAGATTATGACTCATTTTTATGATCCTTTGTACTATGATTTATTATTTTAACTTAAAATCTAAGAAAAATTACATATAAGTCTATGGAAGGAATTTATTTACAAATAATTTTCATAAAATTTAAACAGTATAGCCAAATCTTTTGAAAACTAGTTTGTGATTGGTGTGCAAATATAATAACATCCTTACTTGTCAGGTTACAATGACAAAGATGTCCATTTCCCTCAAATTAAACATTTTGCACGCTATGATCACATTCACAATTGCTTTGCCTCCTCCTCCTCAATTCAAAGAATTAAGCTTGGACAACAGTGGTCAATATAATGCTCATAAAAGGGTATCGGTTTAGGTTCATAATGGAGTTTGTACAAGCTCATCTAATATCCACCACATTGTGACAATTTGCAATAACAAACAAATATCCACCAATTAAACCATGATAACCACCAATGATGTTAACTACAATTTACACCCTCAAGTGACTTTGTTGCAATGTCCATATTAAGTAAACACCATTGCCAACAATATAAACAAGAGCAGTACTATCAAATTCTATCAAATTAACAACTCCTTCATCATATTCGAGGTCAACTAATGTGTTGTTTTAAGTTCACGATACGTTTCATCTCCAATATATTTGTTTCCCACCCAATACATGATCTTATAATTACTCTCAACTTTTTAAGGTGTTTTGCCTTTATCAATTGCTCTTTCTCTTGCCCTCCCACCTTCATAATGCATGCTCCTATCCTAATTCTTCACCACTTGACCTCTAATATGAAAATAACAATATTCTCATTTAGATGAAGAACTTGCCATCATGCATGGTATACCTATTGAATATTAACATCATCATTATCTTCTTAAACTAATAAGTCTAATACTAATTGTTCATAATTACTTCATTAATGATTTATAATTATCATTTCAACTTTTTACAATTGTAATTTTACATATATTAATAATTAGATATTGTGGAATTTGAGAAGGAATAGTATTTCTCATTTGATTCGAAATATTGTAATACAATTAGGTATTTCTACACTAAGATGGGAAAAATAATAATGACTAATAACTACTAATAAAGACTACTAAAGCCTAAGATAATATCTCCACAATAATACTTCTAATAAAATTTTAGACATTCCCATACTCCCCTTCAAGTTGGATTATAAGTGTTAATCATGTTCAACTTGCTTATGCATTCTCAAATACAGGTCTAAGTAACTCTTTAGTCAAAACATAAATTGCTTGCAACTTTGTAGGCAAATATGTCAAACATAAAATTCCTTCTTTCACTTTTTCTCTAATGAAATGTTGGTCTATCTCAACATGTTTAGACTATTCATGTTGTACTGGATTTAAGGCCATGTTTATGGTAGTCTTATTATCACAGTAGAGTTTCAATGGTACACCAACCTGTATTTCATTAAAGACTCATTTCAACCACAACTCCTCTACTATTCCTTAAGCTAAAGCTCTCAATTCAGATTCATCACTGCTTCTTAAAAACAACTTTTTGCCTTTGGCTTTTCCATGTAACTTAATTTTCCCACATAAACGACCAATTGTTAGAGGTTGACCTTTGATCTTTATAAGTTCCACCCTAAGTTGCATTAGCATAAACTTTAATGGATCTTCGCTCATGTTTTCTAAAGAACAAGCCTTTACTAGGAGTACATTTCAAATATCTCAAGATTTGATAGACTGCCTCCATATGACTCTTCATTGGAAATGTTTATATATTGATTGGCAACATTAACAAAGAATGCTATATCTAGCCTCATATGAGATATATATTAGTTTTCCATTTGATATCTCTCTTTATCAGCTACTTCTTCCTTTTCTTTACTTTCCTCCTTTTCTTCTTCACCTTCCTCTTTTTCCTTAAGCTTATTCTTTAGTTTCTCGATCTCAATAAGGGCTTCAACAGGTTTGCAACCTAACATACCCATCTCTTGTAGGAGATTAAGTATATATTTTCTTTGAGAAATATAGATTCCTCTTTTTGACCTGGAAACCTCCATCCTAAGAAATTATTTTAGCTTGTCGAGATTTTTGACTTCAAGTTCTTTCACAAGGACATCCTTTACTCTCTTTATCTTCTCAAGGTGATTTTCGGTGGGTATTATGTCATTAACATAGACAATAAGGATACATTTCTTACTTCCCTTAACCTTAACAAACATTATATGATCCAATAGGGCTTCCTTGTAGCCTTTAAACTTTATGACTCTCGAGAACCTATCAAACTAAGCCCTTAGTGACTATTTTAAGCCATATATAGACTTTTTTAGTTTACAAACTTGACTTTCTTTGCCTTTATTAAATTTAAGAGGTAGAGTCATATAAACTTCTTCCTTCAACTCTCCATCAAGAGTAGCTATCATAAATAATAAGACTCTAATAGTGTTTAATTTTTCTATCGAAACAATTGTTTCTGCAGAGTTCAGACCATATGTCCGGGCAAATCCTCTTATAACCAAGTATGCTTTCAACTTGTCTAGGGCTCCATCAACCTTGTATTTTAAGGTAAACACTGTTTACAACTCACTATTTTCTTTCCTTTGCATAGCTAAACTAGTTCCTATGTCCCATTCTTTTCTAAAGCCCTTATTTCTTCCATGATAGCATTTCACCATTCAAGGATGTTTTGATCATCCTATATAGTCTTAGGTATCTTCATCTTATCAAGATTAGTAATAAAATCCTAATATTAAGGAGAAAGTACATTGTATGAGATAAAACTCGCTATGGATGGAAAGGACATGAATGAGGTTGCTTCCTTAAAGCAATAAGGAGATCAAAATTAGTAGATTCACTCACTTGTTATGTACAATCTAGCTTTAGGGTTTTAGGAGTTGCCCCTAAATTCTAAGTCTCCGTGAGTTTCTACTTCAAAAGCTACCTCTAGTTCTGACTCTCTTGGTGCTTCAGGCACAAGTCACTTACCATCTTTTGATTTCTTTTTTTAATATAACTGAAAATCCTCCCTTTTGTGGTCTTTCTACATCTCTCCCTGTTGTTAGTGTTCCTCAAGTTGTGAAATAAGAGAAGATGTTGGTGTTGGTAGGGTATGTGAATATAATGGCTTAGGTGTTGGTAATAATAATGGCTTAATTAGTGTAAAACATGGCTCAGGCTCAAGAAGCACCAGTTCTTTATTAGATTCTTGTTCCTAAATTTGAGATTCACCTATACTCTCTCCCCTTAAATTGAAGGATGGGGATAGAGTGGAGTAGTTTCATGAAAAGTGGCATTAAGACTAACAAGTGTGTGTTTGGAGATAGGATTAAAATATCTACATCCTTTTTTAGTAGTAGAATAGCCAAGGAATATGCATTTGGCAGCTCAAGGTTTAAGTTTTCGGTAGTAATGAACAAAGGCTATGCAGCCAAACACATGAAGCAAAATATTAGTGGTAATGTGGGATGTGGTTGCAACTTGGGAAGAGGAGTTTCAAAGGATAAGATTTGACTAGGCATACAATTGATTAGGTAGGTCATGATCAAAATAGCATCCTTTTAAAAAAAACTTAGGCGCATTGCAAATAAACATGAGTGATCTAGCAATGTCAAGCATATGAAAAATTTTCCTTTCCACAAACTCATTTTTTTAAGGTGTATGGACATAGAGCTGGTATAGACAATATTGTACATTTGGAAGAAAGTACTTAAAGATTGCTTAAAGTACTTGGTGACATAATTGGTATGTAAGACTTTGATTGTGGTATTAAGTTAGATTTTGATCATATTGATGAAATTCATGAATGGAAATAACCTTAGTTCTTGTTTCTTAAAAGATAAACTCAACAGATATGAGTATGGTCATCAATGAAGGAAATGAACTATGTTGTTTGAGTATGGTTGGGAGTACAAGATAGCCCCCACAAGTCATTATGAATGGTTTGTGAAAGGTTTGATGGGTATGAAT